GTCTGCTTAACTTCAGTTTGATGGCACCTGGTTAGTTCAACCTCTCTTTTGCAGCAATGTCTGCAGTCATTTTTGCAGGGTCTTCGGTTCATTCCATCAGCATTTCCATGTGATTTTCCTTCTCTGTATTCAATATCATAATTATACTGGTCTGTCTTTCCAATCCAACATGCCAGTTGTACTTCTGGGTTCTTTAACGATTTTAACCAGCGTAATGCAGCATGGTCTATACTGATGGTAAACCTAGCCCCATAGAGGTAAGGATGGAAATATGTCAGACTCTTTACTATAGCAAGAAGTTCCCTCCATGTTACACAGTAGTTCCTCTCTGGTCTACTCAGGACCCCACTAAAGTAGGCCACCACATGTTCGTTTTCGCTCACTTTCTGAGACAACACTCCTCCAATTCCGACATTACTAGCATCACAATCCAGTATGTACGGCAGTGAGGGAATTCGAAGCTTTAAAAGTGGAGCTGAGGCCAATTTTTCTTTCAATGTCTTGAAAGCATGCTGGTAAGAAACTATTCATTCGAACTTTTGGCCTTTTTTAGTCAAATCATGTAGTGGAGCAGCTATAGTTGCAAAGTCCTTCACAAACTTCCGGTAATAGGTACAGAGTCCCAAGAAACTTCTTAACTCTCCCACATTGTCTGGTATTGGCCAATCACGCACTGCTTTCACCTTGTCAGGATTAGTTCGCACACCATGCTCACTTACAATGTGACCGAAGTAAAGCACCTCTTTCTGGAACAAGTGGCATTTCTTGGGATGGAGTATGAGGTGAACTGCTTTTCTTGTTTATTTTCTCGTTCTTCTTGTATTGCTGCTATCGAATCTCCTAAGTCGTAGTTTGATTTGACACTTCTCGTTTCCATCTTTTTTCTTATCGGTCCCACTTTCTGACACCAATTTGTTATGTCTCTGGTTTATTAATTTCCTGTAAAAATTCTTTCCAAGAAACTTCAGCGATATAAGTCCTTTCTTAATTAAAACTAGTTTATTCTTTCTCGATACAAACTTTGTAATACACTTAATTTCCACAGTCACTTTAACTTAGCTATAATTCACAGCGATTTACACACTTTACTTAAGGCTTGACTCAATTATCTGTCCCTATGTCAATTTATCTGCCGGCTTATATACTAAAAAAGAGGGCGTCTAGCAAACGCTGGGACATTCATGAGGTTCCCCGATCCTTCTAGAATCTCATCACGTGTTACCAGCGTCACGTGACTCCGCTGTCGTAACAGTACATTTACATTAAGGTCATTCATTTTTGGTTGAGTCGTAATTCTAAGTGAAAGTTAGAGGCCTGTGCAACAACTGTGCTTGTGATTAAGCATGATTAGATGGGGTAATGCCACACTCCTTTAAATTAACATGAGCTAGTTTAGTACTAGCAGTTGGGAGATTAAATTTTTTCTTGACATATATGATGCACATCAAATTTAGTGCAGCTTTTGCATGGAGCACAATGTAGGGTGATGTCGTTACATATAAAACAAATGATTGTGTATTTTATTCATGAACAAGTTAATATTCTCGTCAAATGTTATTCACATTTAGTGTATTTGATATATTCCTATTATCTGTTAGATGTGTATATAATATTATCAAAAATAAGCATCATACTAAGACCGCCACTTAAAATATTCTAGAACTATCATTTACTGGCGGTCAATATTTTCATAGTAGTACTTGTAACTTATGAACATATCTTACATTCACTTCCATTTACCTTTTCCTCATAGTTTGTAGCATACAGTAAAGTCCAGCATTTAGTTTGTCAGGAATGGTTAGACGAGTGGTTCACGTGGCCTCATCTCTCCATATTTGAAAAAGGTTTACACCTTGTAGCACGAATTATTTTCTTCCCGTTCCTTCTCTTTGTACTCCTTTCCTGTGCAAATTCGACCACGGCAAAAAAGTTGAGAACACCTATCAGCAAGTACTTGAACGAAATGACTTCCCATGTACTGTTTGTATTTTTCGTCTTCATGCTAATTAACCTAGACAAGTCCCGTCAGTACCGAGGACCACCTAAGACTGGTAAGTGTAACTTTTTTTTATTACGAAAAGATCTTTTTAAGATTCTTAGATTTTCTTAGATTTTATTTTAAACTTGAAAAATGTTAAAACGTTTACTTTAATTTATTACGGCTAGAAGATTTTAACAGTGTATTTTTGTGATACACTTAAAACATTTCTCTGTTGTATTAACCTATCGTGCTAAAAATATAATGTCTTGCATGCTTTCTCATTAACACGAAATTTGTATTTTAGAAAAATATTTAGTAGTTTATATGAGTAATCTAATACATGATGATGCTCTTCCTTGCAGGACTGGAGTGGGTGATTGTTATCTGGATTATTGGGTTCATTTGTCACAGCATTCTTACTTTAATGTCCATTGGAGCTCGTCGTTACTTCAGTTTCATTTGGAACTGGTAAGGAATCAGGTTTTCTTAGTAGATTTGTAAAATCGATCACATAGGTCTGGTTAATGACTCACCTGTCTATGTTTAATTAACAGGTATGACCTGCTCACTCATGTTGTCTTCTTAATGACGTTTCTGTTCTGGGGAAAGGCCTACTTAGATGTTCAGCACTATCCCAATACTGAAGAAAGAAAAGCATGGCCAAGTTTTGATGCTACCTTAATCCACGAAGGGTTGTTGGCTATCGCTAGTGTCATGGCATTTGGTCGCATACTGTATTTTTTACAACAAAGTGCAACAATTGGTCCATATCAGGTATTTAGACAAAACTTACAAATCCATCTGAAAAAATCTTGCATTACTTAGAACCAAAGCTGGTTGATAATATTTTTATAAAACTAGAACTTTATGTGGTGTATTTTTAATTTCTATTTGAAAAAAAAATACAAGATTAAATACAGTGTTAATGATATTTCCATTTTAACTATGTAGTCTTCCAAACAGAGCACAATTCAGTACACATAACCAATTATCACGTCATAGGAATACTCAAATAGCTACCAACCTTCATCAGTTAACGGATATATCTCAAGTGAATAACATTTAGGTTACACTTTACTTGCCCTCTTTTGGTTCATCGAGGCGTTAGATGTGGTTGCATTTCATAGTCCTCAGATATACTGAAATGATATTTTAAGGACTTCTTTTGGACAAATTTCATTATATTATTAAACAGACATAAATTAGTCTGTAGTGACAAAACATGCTTGGGATGCTTTATTTTATACTATATTTTTATTTATTATTATTATTTAGATATCTCTGGAACGTATGTCTTTTGACATTGTATCATTCCTGTCGGTAGCATTTATTATAATATTGTCTTTTGCTACTGGTATGACCCGGCTGTACCAGTACTACAATGGCATGGTGCAGATTGATGAAAATAAACACAAGAAAGCACAACTGTCTTCTTTTGTTAGGTAAAAAATGAATTATATTTACTCTTATTTAAGATATTAGATTGTGGGCGTCGTGATAATATTCACAATTCTATAGTAATATCATACGATGTACAATGAGCATGAAATGATTAATAATATTTAATAGTCGTAGAATTTTATCTCAATACACATGTAACTATCCATCCATCTCCATATCTGTCTCTATGTTTGTATATATATATATACTCTCACACTCTTCCGTTGATATGAACTATTTATGTCATAAAGATATTTTTACAAGCTTGCATTTTACACCCAAATTTAGGTTTGACTATTCTGTGAAAACTTTATTTTGGGCCTTGTTCGGAATGTCCCCAGTGGAAGCAGCTGACGTAATCATATCTAACCTTGAAACTGGGGGAAAAACCATCAGACACCATCTATTCACAGAAGGAGTTGGTCATTTTTTGTATAGTCTGTATCATCTCATCATCGGTATTGCTCTTATCAACGTTCTCATCGCCATCCTCACTACATCTTATCAGGACGTAGTGGCAAGTTACAGACATAGCTAGCCTAGACTTAACTACCTCTAACATTACCTAAACTAACAATCCTCACTATCCTGTCAGACGTAAAGGTGAAGTTAAAGACATACTTAACTACATTAAACTAACCCTAGTATTGCTTAGCCTAATAATCCTCAATTCATCCTACCAGTACGTTGTGGCAACATTCAAACATACCTAGCTTAGATTAAATAGATTAAAATAAACTTAACATTACCTAACCTAATAATCCTCATTATATCCTTACCAGTGTGATATTTTCAGGTCAAAATTGGTGTTCCGACAAGTATCAGGTAGGTAGACCCGCTAATAACAGAAAATTCGCCCAGGAAATAAGGAGAATCATTTTGAATCTGATAGCTTAAATGAGTCTTCCTAGCGTATGTAAAATAACGAGCATAGTCGAATTTAGTAAAAGTGCTCGAGCTATAAGGTTTCGTATTTTGTGTTTCTTTCTCTCAGGATAAACTCGAACTAAATACGATGATCTTAAAGTATATCTTTACTCGAAAAACTCCAGGTAGAACTCTGAACTAAGAAAGTGTACCTGAAATCAACAAATAAGCTCTATTTCTTTGTCCAGTTGATAGTGTCAACTTGTGACCTTTGCCGTTTCGCAGCATTAGCCAACTTTTACATTAAGATAGTCTCAACTCAGCCTGCAAAGGATATTACACTGCTTATCCTTTCAATCCGATGTAATATGCTACTGCAACGTCCTTTCGGTCAGAATAGACATTATGTACCATAGAAAAGAAAGGAACAAAGCAACAAGAACAAGGCAGTCTCAACGAATTTCTGGACCACGTTTTTATTAAAAAACTGCACACAGACCAAATAAACTAAAATTTTCAAAAATTTCTATATATCACTAAAGCAGGTAGGAAACATAAAATATACTCATATATCACAATAGGATGTAGTAGCAAATTACACACATACTTACCCTAGATTAAACGTAACCTAACCTCTAGCTTACAATGAAATAGTTGTTTTTCAAGTAATTAATGACATAAATAGCATCTCGACTAACACTGTATCTATCTATCCCAGCTAGTCTTATAAACCATGATACTGGGCGAAAGACATTGTTGGCATTGGATATGGCATATATAATGTAGTTCGAATATTATTATATTCTTCTCTATTTTAATTTATAAGTTCTTATAATTTCCTAACATAAATATCATTACCATCCTTTCTGGACGTAGAGATGGTGTTGCAGACAGAACTAGCCCTACCTTTTCCCTTAAATAAGCTAATCAAAAAGTCACATTATTCATTATTAACATTATGTTGTAATCACAACATGATGTCTGCATACATTTGTGTATACAAATATCAAATAACCTAAAATAATGATGATAAGTGTAATTTTATGTTTTTAAAATACAATTTACAAGCATTTTGAAATACATATTATACGTTTTATTCATGATCACCTCATTTCTTGATATATATGTCATGTGTTGTCCGTAATTCGTCTCATTACTCACCTAAATTAGACTAATAATAGTTTTATTTTTTAACACTTTGTGTGTGTAACTTTTAAACTTAAGGAGTTTAGGAACCATTGAAATTTTGGTCATGTCCTGTTGACGTATAGATATAGAGAATCCGGACGAAAAGTAAATGTTATATTGGCAAAAGATTTACAGAACAATATAAAGTTATGATATTTTTTTTTCGATAAAAGTGTATTTTATGCTTCCAGCCTCGTCGTCTATTGCACTAATTGAGAAATTTATAGAAGCAATTCGTAATGTTCATAGCAGAAATTACTTATGGTATTGCTAATCTGAGTCCTCGCTACAATATTGTTTTACTTAAAACCTAATTTATGTATATGGCTTAATATCACGACCTGTCTAAATATTTAAATATAAACATATTTCATTCTAATGTTTTGCACAACTATTCTCATCAATCCACGTTAAATAGGCCAAACCAGAAAGCTAAAATTATATAGTTTCTATTGATTGTTTGTTTGTAATTAAGCACAAAGCTGCACAATGGTGCTCTGCTTTGCCCACCACGGGTATCGAAACCCGGATTTTTTTAATTGAACATATATATATAATATTTTAACATAATCATGCATTTCAAATATAAAACACAATAACAAATTATAATTGCCACACTTTTTTCTTAGGACAATGCAGATACAGAATGGAAGTATTCCCGTACCCGTTTATGGCTAAGATACATCAACTACCCCTCAACTATTCCCCCTCCACTGAGCCTTATCCCACTAGTTGACTTCATTGGTAACAAAATTTCTGAACACAGAAAACTGCCACGAGAACAAACTCAGAATATACAATGCTCTCTAAAAGTAAGTTGTAAATTTAACTATTAGTGTGGAGGTAACACATCAATACTATGCATAGTTGCGCGAAAAGCTACATTCCTAATATTAAACTGATAGACTAGAGGGAAGGCAACTAGTCAATATCACCCACCGCGATCTCTTAGACAGCCCGATTAGTAGGATTCGATTGTTTCTCATATAGTGGACTCACAGCCCCAAATTGCGAAGGGCAGGCCGCGAAACATTTATCCCCGTATCCACAGTTAAAAGTTATTTTCCCATTGTTCATCTTAAATTTGTATCAGCGATTTACTAAAGTCAACAACTTCCTAGATATATTTATATACAACAATCTGTAACTCCAGCTACACCTGAACAAACAGGAATATGATAAGTCTGTTTGAATAAAAAAAATCACAATAAACCTAATAGTGAAATAAAATAAAATAACTATGTTGTAAAGCAACTCTCAAATGAAATATTCAATGACTGATAACTTATATCATAGCGGAACATTTTCACTATGTCTATATTACTTATTATTCTTAACAGAATAATCTTTGTGAAAACTAAGAGCACAAATTCGTATTTGACAAAGAATTCTTCTGGAAATTTTCAGAAAGAGACAGATATTTGTAACTTTCTGGTTTCTAGCCACTTGTTTTGACACCAGTTTCTTAAATAATATTTCATTGGTTCCAGATACTACGACATTTCTGTAACGAAAGAGAATAGGACAGTAGTCACCCGTGAGGCACATTTATAAGTAATAATAATATATATATACAAAATGCCGAATTTTCATGCCTCATTACCAAAAAGAAACAACGGCAGCAACAGAAACACACGCTAATGTTCTCTTGACTCAGAACTTAAGCCCGATATCAAAATATATATGACAGTTCGCATATACACAACATTACGTTAACTTTACAGTGATTTGACGACAAGCTGGTATTAGTTCTAGCGCGTGAGTCTTACGAATCAACTGCTTTAACAAACGAAGCTAGCGGATCTTTTGTATGTTTTATATGTATATGCGCTAATATAAATTACACATTAGATATATTTTGAAATAGTAGTTATATTCGTACAAATATCATAGTATAGTAATTCACCAGTTATTCCTTAGTTTCTACTTTTTGCGCTAAATGAAAAATTGCAATGGAAAACATATAAGAGTGAAAATATTTTTGATGACCTTGGCGAGGCATATTGAAGAACAATAGCGACAAGTATGCTTCTTGATAAGCATGACAAATGGCTTTCAACTTCTCAAATGCAACTACATAAAATGTAAGATCTGAGACCCGATGATGCATGAAACTGAAAATTAATTTAGTAATTTGAAAACTATTAAATGTTCATAAAGCTAACTTGAAAGATTCTCCTAAATTTCTGTGAAATTCAGTATAGTAAAAATAGGTATGAAATGTCTATATTATATTATAGTCATACTTACCGTAAAAGAAGATGCAAAAATAAATAAAAAATATTTTTTTAAATGTAAGATATGATTAAGTTGAGTTTCACGTAACAATCTTTAACTAAACCATAAAGTTTGAGAACAGAAAATTATTGATTATTGAGGTTGAAGATAGTCTTTAACGCATTGTTATAGGTACAATCACAAAAAATTGGAATTATTGAGAGTAAAACGTTCCCAATAATTTTGTTTGTTTGTTGTTAAGCACAAAAATACACAATTATGCTATATCATCCACGGGTATCGAAACTCGCTTTTTAGCGTTATAAGCCTTTAGACAATCCGCTGGGCCGTTCCTACGAAGGTCTCGTAGCTTTGATTGCTTTGTTTGTTTTTGAATTTCGCACAAAGCTGCACGAGAGCTATCTGTG